GAAGGAGGAGGAAGGAGGGGTCAGATCTAACCGAACCATTTGATTACACTTCCGTTGTAGAACTGTGCTCTGGGAGGGGTCTGAGCACCACATGAGAGATCCTCGCACCTCTTGGCTCCCGCATGACGCGCGGGAGGTGGTCAAGCCCGTTTCGCCTGAGACATCTTCGCAACTCCGGGCTCCGAAAAAATCCGCTCATCCGGCGTGTACTGAGCCTGAGCTATAGCCTACAGCCTGAGTTTCAGCTCTGCTGGGGGGGGCCAGGGGGGCTCTGCTGGGGAAGGGGGGCAGAGGGGGGTGCGCCTGTGCTCCGCTTTCTGGGCGGGGCTGGGACACGTAACAATCAGCCAAATTCCCACCCCGGGGGCCAGAGAGCCCAAGATGCCCGCCAGATGTTTCCCAGACGGCTCAAGATGCACCCAAGATGGCCCAGGATGCCCCAGGATGCCCTCCCAAAAAGGCCCGACGAGGCCCACATCATTGATTTTCTACATGCTTGGATTTGGGAGCTTTGTTCGATTTGGGCGCTCTATTCGTTTCGGCCTTCCGACTGCCCCAAAGGCCCCCAAGATCACCCCAGAGGCCCGCAAGATGGCCCTATGACATCCCAAGAGGCTCCTAAGATGGCCCCAAGACGGCCCACAGGCCATAGGCCCCCAAGACGGCCAAGAAAGCCTCCAAGACGGTCCTGAAGCGCCCCCAGAGTGCTCCCAGACGTCATAGCGAGGCGCCCAAGACGGCTTCCGACGGCGTCCGACGGGCCAGGAACGCTCTAAGACAGCCAAAGATGATTCCAAGAAGCCCCCAAAAGGCTCAAAGACCCCCTCGAGGCTTTCTTCTACGACGGCCCCAAGACGGCCCCATAGGCCTCCAAGCGAACCCGAGCATCATCGGGAGCGCCCTGGGTCGGCCGCACTGGCCGGTGGCCACTGCAATATGCGAGAGGTGGTCTTCGGAAAAAGGATGCTATACACGACCACCAGGATTCCTCACACCTGGATGTGGCAATTGATGGCTCATGTGGTATTGTCAGCAAACTGTTATTCTGCTCCCCATCAAGGTGGCCAGGATCGCCTTGCCGCAAGGAGGGCGGAATGCAAGTCCGCCCGCGACAGTCCATGACAGCGTGTACCACAGACGAACAATACATTCGCTCCTGGTGTATCTGGTTCCCGATGTGTGCAGGCACTTGGTGTTTTGACCCGCTGGAGATACACACCAGGACGTGGCCCGCCGTTAAACATCGTTGCCCCTCGCTGGTGTGTACGTGGAGTGAGCGATTCGCCAGGCTACTGTGATGTTCTCCTCCCTCTGTTGTCCGCGTTGGGGGCGCCGTCGCGGGGCGGCTCGCCTTGCTCGCATTTCAGGTCGCCAATACTTTCCAGAGGCCGCATGCGCCGTCGGCCTGTGCCGCTGGATGGTCGCAGGCGAGGTTTAGAATGCCGATGTGTGGGTTGCTTTCGCTTCTGTGTTTTGCCATGCCTGGTGGTGGCGTCTGCCTAGGTCTGGCCCGCTTCGCCTGGGACATTCTCGCAAGACGGAGCTCCGAGATGCTGCGCGCGAGGTGGTCCGGCCCGTTTCGCCTGACATCTTCGGAACTCTGGGCTCCGAGAGGGAGGAGGGAGGATGGGCCATCGCTCGGACGTCCATTCCCCGTGTTTTTTGTTCGGTTTAGTGCGTGGCTTGTTCGCCAAATGATCAAGGGTGCTCCTCGATGGTCCTCGCCGAAGGAAACATGCACACGTCCGAGCGATGCCGAGAGGGGGGGGTCAGACCCACACAAGCCATTTGCTTGCTCTTCTGTTGTCGAGCCGTGCTTTGGAAAGGGTCTGTGCGCCCCTGGCCCGACCGAGGCAGCTGGCGCTGACGCGCTGAGCGCGGTTCCGTGGCAAGCTGCGAGGGATTCTCCAGGGGGGGGGGCTATGCTTGAGCTGGTCGTGGGGATGCCTCGAGCGGGAGCGCGGTGAGCAGGGAGGAGGCAGGAGAAACATGAATCATGGGGCATGGGGACGGGACGAGGCCCAAACTGGAAGTTTGAGGGCCTCCATGGCGAGAATGCTTCCTGGAAGCGGCATCGAGAGTGTGAAGGCATCCCTCGCATGCCGGAGGAGGATGAGGAGGAGGAAGAGAGGGAGGAGGAGGAGCATGGCGGGGAGGACGAGGAGGGGGAGGAGGATGAGGAGGAGGAGCATTGCGAGGACGAGGAGGATGAGAAGGAGCAGCAGCAGGAGGAAGAACACTGCGATGAGAAGGAGGACGCAGAATAGTACGAGGAACACAAGGCGGAATACGGCGAGCAGGAGGAGGAGGGTGAGGAGGAGGAGCAGAGGAGGAGGAGGAGGAGCAGAGGAGGAGGAGGAGCAGAGGAGGAGGACCACGAACATGAGGAGTGCGATGAGGAGGTAGAGGATGAGGAGGATAAGGATGAGAAGGAAGAGGTTTATGAAAACCACTAGAAGGATGAGGAGGATTTGTAAGAGGAGGAGGAGGAGGGCGAAGGAGGAGTGACATGAGGAGATATACAGCGCGAGGAAGGAGGAGGAGGAGGAGGAGGAGGAGGAGGAGGAGGAGGAGGAGGAGGGGGGGAGGAGGGAGGAGGAGGAGGAGGAGAGGAGGAGGAGGAGGAGGAGGAAGAGGAGGGAGGAGGAGCAGGAGGAGGAGAGAAGGAGGAGGAGGAGGAAGGACGGTGTAGGAGGAGAAGGAGGAGGAGGAAGATTTGGAGAAGGAGGAGGAGGAGGAGGAGGAGGAGGAGGTTGGAGGAGCAGGAGGAGGGTGAGGAGGGTGGGGAGAAGGAGGAGGAGGAGCAGGAGGAGGAGGAAGAGGAAGAGGAGGGAGAGGACCAGGAGAATCAGGATGAGGAGGACGACGAGGAGGACGAGGAGGAGTGGGAGGAAGAGATGAGGGGGATGATGAAGAGGTGTAGTGAAAGGGGCGACAAGGAGAACGACGTGGATGCGGAGAGGATGATAACGACGACGATGACAAACAGCTCGACGACGACGGCGAAGGCGCAGTCGGATCAGGAGCATAAGGACGCGCGAACACTCTGAGGAGCCACTTTGGCTCAAACATGCTGTTCGGGGATAATGGACTCTGGCTATCAATTCTATCGTGTGCGACGCCCCGATCATCCGAGCAGAGTCCGTGCGCTGTAAAGGAGGGGGGACGAGGAGGAGGAGGAGTACGAGGAGGAGGATAGAGGAGGAGGATGAGGAAGACGAGGAGGAGGAGACGGAGGAGGAGGAGGAGGAGGAGGAGGAGGCGCGACCACCCCGAGGACTCTCCGGCCCAGGCTGCAGGAGCGCGACGCCGCTCAGCCGTGCCCTCGCGCCCCCCGGGGGGTGCCCGAGGTGTGAAGCCAAGGCCGTGGGGCACGACGAGCAGGTCGGGCGCGGAACTCTCGGGGACCGCTGAGCGCGCGCGAGGCCCGGAGAGCGCGTCGGGGCGCCGCTCCAGGGCGCACCGCGGTGCCCCCGGCAGGGCCGGGACGAGAGGGAGGCGCCAGCCTCGGCGTCCGCCTCCGCCTGTCATCGCAGAGACACGATGACCACGATCCTCCGGAGCCTCCTCCCTCCGCCTCCTCCTCCCTCATCGGAGGACTCCTGAGCCCACCTCCTCTCCTCCTCCTCCTCATCCTCCTCCTCTGCTCCTCCTTCTCCTCCTCCTCCTCCTCCCTCATCGGAGGACTCCCTCCCTCCTCCTCCCTCCTCCTTCCTCCTCCTCCACCCCTCCTCCCCCTCCTCCCTCCTCCTCCGCCTGACATCGCAGAGACACGATGACCACGATCCTCCTGAGCCTCCTCCACCAGCACAACCCTCCCCCGTCCTCCCCGGGGCGGGGCGCCCCCACGGACGCGACGACCACTCGAGCCCCCCCCCGCTGCTCCTGCTCCTGCTCCTCCTGCCTCATGCTCCTGCTCCCCCGCTCCTCCTCGACTCCTGCCCTCCTCCTCCTCCTCTTGTTCCTCTTCGTCCTCCTCACCATCTTCGTCTTTCTCCTGCCCCTCCTCCGCCTCCTGCGTCTTGGTGTGCCGGCTCCTGGGCCCGGGTCGCGCAAAAGGATGGCAGCCCTGGAGGACGCGCAATGGGCGGCGGGCGGCGGGGATGCCAAAGTCCTCCATCCTCCCTCCGCCCCGATCCCTTTCGCCTGCTCCGTCCTCCTCCCTCCTCCCTCCCTCCTGCTCTCCTCTCTCCTCCCTCCCACCTGCCGTCCATCCCTCTTCCTCCAGAGTAACTCCTCCCTGTCGCGCCCCCGGACGCGTCGGTAGGGCGGGCCGGGCCTTTCGCCGGAGACCCTTCCACAACTTACGATCCTGACGCTTGAAATTTTCAGCGAATTTGCGGATGGAGAGCGGGTGGTTTCCCAAATGTGACTCTCGCCTAAGTGCCGCACCTATTCTCCTCGAAAGTTCGCAACACTGTCAAGGAGTGTGGGCGGTGCCTGTTAAAAATGTGGTTCTCGCCTACGCGCCCTGCACATTCTTCTTCTAAGCTTGCGACACGTTCAAGGATGGAGGGCGGTTCGTTTCCAAAATGTGGCTCTCGCCCAAGCGCCGCGCACATTCATCTCAAAAGTCTGCAGCAGCTTCAAGGATAGAGGGCGGCTTGTTTTCAAACTGTGGCGCTCGCCTTAGCGCCGCGCGCGCTCGTCTCAAAAGTGTGCAGCAGTTTCGAATATTCGCATGGTTGAGATTCCAGGAAGGGTTCTGGCACGAGTTAGGATTGTCAGGGCGGAGCAAACATGCTTATGCGCAATGTTGAAGTCCCAAGAACGGTGTACTGGCACGATTGAGGATTGTCATGATGGAACAATCACACTCGGACGTTTGTCTTCTCATGGGCCACTTCCCGCAATGGAGATACTTGCCTTGTAGGGACCTGTGAAAAAAGGAACCTTGGAGGAAGGGTTTATTGCAACATCGTTGATGCGCCTTGGGCTTGCACTGGTCTCTCTTTCCTTCTCCTCGGCAGAGGCGGTGGCGGGCGGTGCCGGCGCAGCGCCTTGTAGCCCGTGACGGTGGAGACGGATGCCTGCCCCTCCCCCCCCGGGGGCGTGGCCGCCTCTGCTCGACCGAGACGACGACGACGATGGCGGCGGTGGCGGCGAGGACGCCGCCGCAACGGCGAAGACTGGTGGTCCTGCCTGCCCCCTCCTCCTGCCTTTTCCTCCTCTTCCTCCTCCTCCTCCTCCTCCTCCCTCTACCCCGGCCTCCTGCCTCCCCCATCTCCTCCTCCACCTGCTCCTCTTTGACCTGCTCCTCCTCCACCTGCTCCTCCCCCTGTTCCAGTCCACTCTACCTCAGCCTCGTCCACCTCCACCTGCTCCTCCTCCACCTCCATCTGTCCCTTCTCCTGCTCCTCCCTCCTCATCCACGTTTTCCTGGTCCTTTTACTTGTCATCCTCCTCCTGCTGCAGCTGAGCCTCCTCCGCCCGCCTCCCCTCAAAGAACTCCTCCCTGCCGCGCCCCGAGACGCGTCGGTAGGACCTCCAAGGCCGGAGGAAGGGCCGTGTTTCAACATCTGGCCCTCGCTTGAGCGCCGCGCTCTGGCAAGGTCTGCAAGCGCTGCGCGGGTGGAGGCCGGGCAATTCTCAGGACGTGCACACCGCCCTCGCGCCGCGTGCACTCGTCATTCCATGCTTGGCACGACTGCACGGACGGAGGCCGGCTCGTTTTCGACGACACGTGGCGCTCGCTTCAGCGCCGCGCATACCTGTCCTACGGGTGACGTCCCAGAATCTGTGTTGCGGCACAGTCTAGAACTGCCAGGGGCGAAACAGTTCAGGTCCCAGGGAAGAAAGTTCTGGCACGATTCAGGATCCCCAGGATGCAGCAGGAGCGTTGGTTTGCGGCTTTGGAGTCCCAGTAATTGTGCTTTGGCACGGATCACGACTTTCAGACGGCTGTCTTCCAACAGGGTACTTCCCTCAGTGAACATGCATCCTTGTAGGGACCTTGGGAACTTGGAGGGAAGGATCGTTGATAAATCTTGGGTATACACTGGTCCTCCTCCTCCTCCTCCTCCTCCTCCTCTTCCTCCTCCTTTTCTCTCCTCCTCCTCCTCCTCCTCCTCCACCACCACCTCTTCTTCCTCCTCCTCCTTCTCCTCCTGCTCTTTTCCACCTCCTGCTCCCGCCCCTTCCCCGTCCTCCCCCTTCTGCTGCTCCCCCTCCTACCTCCTCATCCGCCTCCGCCCCCACCTCCTCCTGCCGCCCTCCTCCTCCTCCTCCTCCGCCGCCTCCTCTTCCTCTGCGTGCTTCCTCCTCCTGCCTCCTATCCGCCTCCACCTCCCCCTTCCTCCGCCCGCCCTGCCCCCTGCCTCAAATCCATGCCACTCCTCTGGCCACACTCCCCCTCCTCCTCCTCCTCCTCCTCCTCCTCCTCCTCCTCCTCCTCCTCCTCATCTCCTCCTTTCCTCCTCCTCCTCCCTCGAAGTCGTGGCAGTCTCTGGACACCAAACACGTACCTGCACGGGGCGCAGCAAGCGGGCCTCGCCCTCAAGGGATCGATAAGTGAGGTTCCCCTCTTCGGCGGACGGTGGCGGAACGCTTGCGGAGACAAACAATTTGGACGCCCGAAATGGGTACGGAAAAACATTATACAATGCCCAACAACAAATGTTGTCCCAAACCAACAGCGGCCGCTGTTGCGCAGGCGGCCTTCTGTCTCAAATGGGCACAGGCCGCGGCGGCGCGGACAACGAATCCAACAACAATCCCGAAACGTACCCACACCCTTTTCCACGCGAGGCGAGCATGTGCAGGAACGCTCCATACAACACAAAACGTCGCAAGATGTGAACGGTCTGCGCTGCCCAACACTCCGCCGTGCCCCCCAGGGGACCGACGATAATGGCGACAATTGCGCAGTTCGCAGCCCCCGAGGGAGCCGCGAGATCCAAGGGCTCCCAACTTCGCGCTTCGCGCTGCGCGAAGCGCGAAATGCAAATAACTTCGCGCTCTCCCGCCGCCTCCCAGGGAAGAGGAGGAGGAGGAGGAATTGGAGCCGAACCGCGAAGCGCGAATAACTTCGCGCCCTCGAGGGCGCCCCTGGAGATCTCGCCCGGATCCGCGTCGCCCTGCACTCCGCCGCGCCTCCCAGAGTCCCGCGAAAGAGTGGCGACAATTGGCGCAGCTCGCGGCCCCGCCCGAAGGGGCCGCGAGGCCTCCGGGTTCCACGCGCAGCCGCGTAACCGAGCGCGGGCGATAGCAACCCCCCAGGGATAATAAAGTTCACGGTTCCCGCGGGGATAATAAAAGGATTTTCCCGGGGAAGGTAAGTTATGATGATGATGAGGAGGATGCGGATGATGATGATGCTGATAATGATGATGAAGGTGACGACGATGATGGAGAAGGGGGAGGAGGTTAAACCAGGCGCACGACAGAAGCCTGACTCGAGCGATCTCGAGGCTCGCGGCTACTTGCCCGCAAAGGTGCACGACGCAAGGCTGAGTCGAGAAATCTGGAAGCTCGCGGCGACTTGCCCGCAGAGGCGCACGACGCAAGGCTGACTCGATCGATCTCGAGGCTCGTGGCTAGGCGCCTAGATGTTGCCAGCGCTAGAAATGTCCTTGGCCGATCTGGCCAAGAAGCCCCGCGTGCGCCGGACTTCGAAACACTCCCACGCAAGCACGGCTTCCTTTGGAGCCGTCCTTGCATGGGGGACACTTGGTGCAAGGCTGGGCGGCGGCGCTAGCCTCCTCGTAGGTGGCGTATTTCGGCTCGGCCGCCGCAGGGTCCTCGCAAGGGTTGGACTTGTGCTTGGCATTGGCCTTGGCCTTTGCCTCGGTCATCGCCGCGTCGTTGTCGCCGGCCTCCTTGAGTTGATTGATGAACTCGTTGCCTCGAGCGACCATGGCGTGGAGGGGATTTGGCGGCCCTCGCCTCGGATCTCGCGCAGGGCGTGCTCGATCCATCGACTCGTCCACAGGCCGCAGCCCCAACCGTCTATTTGGTGCCGTCTGTTGCTCGGCGCCGGGCGATGCTCGCCAGGGCCTATGGCGCCGAGCTCGCGGAGGATCCTCGCGGCGGCCTCGGGAGGTCACGCGCGAACCTTACCCGCGACTTCTGAGGAGGAGGAGGAGGAGGAGGAGGCGGAGGAGGAGGGCGGGGCACACTTCGCTCGGCACCTCCCGATCAAAGTGAAACCCACCTTCCCCCATCAGACATCGTGGGGCGCAGGCGTGAGTTCGCGCGTGGCCCTTTTGGGCCTGCTTGGCGTGCTCGGACGGCTGCTCGAGGGCGTCGCGGTACCCCGCCTCGACGCCGCCCCCGTCGATCCTCGAGACCTGGCGGGAAGTGCCACAAGTGCCCCCTGCCCGCGGCGCCTCCAGGATTCGCTCCAAACCGGAGCGAAACGCTGGAGGCACCCTGGGGGGGGTGGGGGGGGGGCATTGCAACAACCGCCGACCTTGAGGTACGTGTAGTGCGCTGGCGCCTCGGAGCGCGCGCAGACCAGCGCGTGCTGGGCCTTGTCGATCCTCTCGGCTCAGCGCATCTGCTCCTCGGGCCGCTGGGCGGCGGGTGCGTCCTCGCCCTGGCCCTCTCGAGCCCAGGAGACGGCCGCCGTGGGCTCGACCGCCAGAACGTTGTCGGGGGCGCCCATGCGCTCCTCGATCTCGCCCAGCAGCGCGCGCGCGCTGTGCCCAGCTCGGGGGCGTCGCCCTTGACGATCTGATCGCAATTCATGATCGCGTGCTCCATGGCGAGCGCGGTGCGGCGAGCGCGTCTTGTCTGGCGCCAGTCGAGCTTCTGCGGCTTGGGAAACTTGTAGTCCTGCTCGATCGTGACCTGTGGCGCTCGGGATTCGCAGGCGCTCTTTAGCTTCCGCCTGCTTCCGCTTCGCGTCGCTTCCGCCTGCTTCCGCTTTCGTTTCTTTCCTGTCCGCCAACTTCCGCCTGCTCCCGCCGCCCCAGGCAAGGGAAGGCGAGCGCTAACGAGTGCCCGTGACCCTCCCAGCCTCGCTGCTGTCGACCTGGAAGATCCCCGCGGTCTCCACCTCGAGGACGCGCGGGCAGCGCTCGTCCTCGGTGCCCAGGACTCGCCAGACGTCCTGCACTCTGCCGCGCCTGCCCTCGCAACGCCCTCCTCGGTGGCGCGCGCCACCTTGCCGCGCCAGGGGGGCTCCTCGCAAGCCTCGAGGCTGTTATTATGCTTGGCCCTGTCCTTCTTCTTGGCGTGCTTCTCCGCTCGCTTCTTCTGCTTGAACTGCTTGGAGAAGCTCGCGCGCGCCTTCGGCGGCCTGCCTGCGAGCTTCGCCTTGGCCACGCCTCTGCTGAGGTGCTCGAGCGAGGTCTCGCCGCCAGTCTCGGCCTCGTCGCGCTGCCACTTGCGGGCGTGCTTGCCCAGGAACTGGCCCGCGAACTTGGACGCCCACCTGGTCTTGCGTTTAGCTGTCCGTTTCAGCTTGATCCTGTCTTCGAGGGCGCGCGGGAATGACATATTTGATCCGCTCCTCTGGCGGTTTGAGCGTGTCCTTATGCTCGTCTGTGAGCTCGAGGTCCAGCTCTCGGAGCTTCAGGAGGCATGGGTTCTCGTCCTGCTCGTAATCCCTCGGCAAGTCGTCGTCGTGGAAGCAATCGCCGTCGAGGACGCTCCACTAGGGCGCGGGCGGCACGCCCTCGGGCCAGCTCTGGATACCCTCGAGGCGCTCTTTCGCCAGGCTGTTCTCGATGCCGCGGCCGGGCTCGGTGGAGTAGCTCCACGGCTCCATGCCCGTGACGACCTTGAGCTCGCCTTGCTCTGTCGGCCGGACCACGAGCATCTGGTTGGCTTGCGCCCCTTGTGGCGGCACCGCGTCCTTGTTCTGCTCGCGGAAGCGGGCGTAGGCCTCGGAGACGCAGTAGAGGCACTATCCCTGACAGCCGCGTCTTCCAATTCGTGGAGAAATTGACCCCTCACCCTACTACATCCCCGCCCGCTCAGCTACGGGAAGAGTGATTCGAGCACGCGTTTAAATTCCATTCAACACGGGTTCCCTTCAGAATTACAGGCCCGACGTAGCCTCGACATGGCAGCCGAAATCGTTCCCAAACCTCGTCTTGGGGCCATCTTGGTGACAACAACATGTGACCCCAGCGTGCTGCTGTCGACCCCGCCCACTGCAGCAAAAAACACACAACCTAACCATCCCATCGCCGATCAATAAGAAGAGCTGCCGACCTCCACTCCCCGCCCCCCCTCCTCCCTCCCAGAACCGATCAAAGAACCTGCCCCTCCCACATCCGTCCCAGGAGACCCAAGAAAGGCACACATAGACAACGCAAACAAAACTCGACGCTCGACGCTCGACGACGACCCCAGGCACCTCACGTCGTGATTTTTTCTCGCAGCGTGGCTCCCCCAAAATGTGGAGCCCTTCCTGGGGACGCTCTGCATCCTGATTTCTGATGGCCCTGGGACCCAGTAAGGTTAAGTCGGGCCTGTCCCCCTACAAGGGGATTTTCGACGGAAAAACAAATACCCCCAAAATGCACCCAAAAGCTAAAACAAATAACTACTCACAAAATAGTCCCCTGGCTATTTTTGGATTACTTTTTTAGCTATTTTTGGGGTATCTTTTAATTTTCGTCGAACATCCCCCTGTATGGGGGACAGGCCCGACTTAACCCTGGGACCCAATAAGGGACCCTGGAGGCCGAAGACTGCCCCAAATCCTTCCGCCACGCTGTTCCCACGCGAGGATCTCGGGGACGGCCCCTGCCCACCTCTGCGGCTGGGGCCAGATCGACGCTGACAGATCGCGCACAGTGTCGCTGGCCCCTGCCGGCGATCGACGACGACGACAACGCTCGACGACGACGACGACGACGACGACGACGAAGACGACGCCGCCGCCGCAGCTCGACGATGACGACGACGGTGCTCCAAGGTCGACGACGACGATTTAGCATGGGGGAACGGGTCCTGAGGGAAACGGGTCCTGGACCTTGAGGCCTTGCCCCAGGACGAGATCCTCACCTGAGTCGTTTTCTGACAGTTCCAGGGGCCCCTGGGGCCTGTGGAGGGCCCCGAGGGCCCGAGAACGGCCAAAAACCTCAGGACCCGTTTCCCTCGGGGCCCGCTTCCCCCATGGCGGTGACCCCTGCCGACCTTGGCGGCCGGGGCCTGGAAGACGCTGACCGATCGCGTGGTCGCCGGCTGGCCCGCCACTCCTCGGCGCCCAAGGGGCGGGCGGCGGCGGGGCGGCCCCCAGCGGTGGATACCGGCGCGATCTCGAGAGCGACGAGGGCAAGAGGGTGTGTCTTCTGATGATGATGATGATGATGATGATGATGATGATGATGCTGGTGGTGGTGGTGGTGGTGGTGAAAAAGATGATTAAGCTGCTGATGATGATACTGATGGTGATGACGACTGTGATGAACATGATGCTGATGACGATGACGATGACGATGACGATGATGATGATGATGATGATGATGACGATGCTGATTATGATGCTGACGATGACGGTGCCAATGATGATGATGGTGCTGCTGATGATGATGATGGCGATGCCGATGATGATGATGATGATGATGATGATGATGATGATGATGGTGGTAATGATGATGATGATGATGATGATGATGATGATGATGATGATGATGATGATGATGATGATGATGATGATGATGATGATGATTGTGATGATTTTACATGATGATGCTGGTGATGAGATTGCGCTGCTGATGCTGATGATGACGATGATGAAGAGAGATGTGAGATGATGGTGATGATGAGATGGATGATGATGATGATGATGATTGATGATGATGATGATGATGATGATGATGATATGATATGATGATGATGATGAGCTGGATGCTGACTGATGAGCATTATGATGCTGCTGCTGCGCGCTGCTGTCTTGCTGACGACACGACGGACGACGGACTGACGACGACGACGACGACGACCGACGACGACGACGACGAATCCTGATGATGAGATGATGATGATGTATGAGATGATGATGATGATGATGATGATGATGATGAGTGTGCTGATGCTGATCATGATCATGACGAGAGGAGGAGGAGGAGGAGGAGGAGGAGGAGGAAGAGGAGGAGGAAAAGGAGGAGGATGAGGATGAGGAGGAGGAGGAGGCGGAGGAGGAGGAGGAGGATGGGGGAGGAGGGGAAGGACGAGGCGGGATGAGGAGAGAGGGAGGGTGATGAGGATGGAGAGGAGCCTCCTCCTCCTCCTCCGAGGAGGGAGGGGGGACACGAGGATCAGGAGGAATGGGGGAGGAGACGATGGAGGATGAGGGTAAGGAGGAGCACGGAGGAAGGAAGAGGAGAGAGGGATGAGGGGGAAGGGCAGGAGGAAACGCCGGGTGAGGAGGAAAGGGTGGCGAGGGAGGGGGATGAGGATGAGCAGGACAAGGACGAGCAGGATCAGGAAGGGGATGGGGAGCAGGTGGGAGGAGGAGGAGGAGGAGGAGGAGGAGGAGGAGGACGAGTAGCTGGTGCCTCAATTCGCCCTCACCTGATCTTCCCTCGCAGAGGCAGCGCAGGAGGGGCCGCTCCTTGGACCAGGTGCGGCGACGTCGCGGGGGCCTGCCACGACGTGGCGCTCGCGACCGAGGCCCTGTCCACGTGGTGCCACTTGCCGCGGGCGCCGCCCACGCCTTCGCCGGGAAGCCTCCCGAACGCTCCGTTTGAGCAGGCCAGGCGAGGAGCCCTCACGTCCTCGCTCCTGCTCTTCTCGACCCTCCTCCCTTCCTCCCGCTGCCCCCCCCCCTTGCCCTCCTGCTCGTCCTTCTCGATCCTCCTCCCTCCTCCCGCTGCCCCCTTGCTGCGCTGCTCCCTCCCTCGCACTCCCTTGTCCCGCTGCTCCTCCACCCGCCCCCCTCCTCCCTCCCTCCCTCCCGCTATCCCTCCCTGCCCAGTCGGACCTAGGACAGAAGAACTCCCTTCAAGAACAAAAGGCCCTCCGTCGGCCCAAACTCACAGGGCATCCAAGGGCACCCCCTCCCCAGGATGCACGGGAGCATCCAGCAGGCACGAAGACCACAAGGGTACCCTCCCCGAGCCGACCTCGATCTTGTACCTCGGGCCGCGGCTGTGGCGCAGGTCCAGGAAGCGCGCGCACCCGCCCGGCTCACGCAGCAGGGGATCCACCCATTACCAGCCTGGAACATAACCCTATCCCTATGCTGGGCATCTCCTCATCACGATGCCAATCTTAGGGATTCCCTTATTTTTTGATGGCGAATCCCTAAGATTGTCATCGCCTTTTGGCGTGTCAATCTTAGGGATAGGGATACGTTCGAGGCTGGTTAACCCACAGGGGATCGACAGCGACAGTCACGGAGGGGGGAGCCGTGAGAGGACGGATTGGGGGAAAGCGGGGAGCAGGGGCTCCCCCGCACACGCACATCTTCCGCCCAGGCCCTCCCGCCTCTCGGGCAGCTGGCCCACCTCGCCGAAGTAGCCGTGCGGCACGGCGAAGGTCGACCCGATGGGCAGGCTGCTGGTGTCGAGCTCCCTGCAGGTGCGCGGCCCAGTGTAGTTTTCTCAGCGTGTTCTGATCCGGCGCTTCGACATTGGGCGGAAGGGTGGGAAGGAGGGGGGGGTCTGGCTCCGGACCTGTGCTTGATGCGACTGTTTGCAACAGTGCGTCCTGTGGGGGAGACTCCACCTGTTTGAAACATGCGCCGAAAACAGCCCCGATCCACTCCACGAGGGGTGGAGGCAGGGGGATGCGAGGGCCCGCGCCGATCGGCAAAGCAACGAATAAGAAAACGATCACTGTCGGGCCATAACTTGGGCCTCCGGCGGCCATTTCGGACGATCCGGGCACCCCCGGAACGCCCTCGGCGAGGCGCAGCCGCAGGAACGCATCCCGAGGCTGATAAAACCGCCGAGAAGCGACGAATACGCCCGAAAGCCTAGCACCCCGAATCCAGGGCATGAGCTGGTTTCGCCGGCGCTAGTTTCGCCCGCGCTGGTTTCGCCCCGCTGGTTTCGCCGACGGCTGGTTTCGTCGGCTCTGGTTTCGCCCCGCTGGTTTCGTCCCACTGGTTTCGCCGGCGCTGGTTTTGCCGACGCCGTCGTCGCCATCGGCGTCGGCGTCGGCGCCGGCACCGCCGCCGCCGCCGCCGCCGCCGCCGCCGTCGTCGTCGTCGTCGTCGTCGTCGTCGTCGTCGTCGTCGTCGTCGTCGTCGTCGTCGTCGTCGTCGTCGTCGTCGGGCGTCGGGCGTCGGGCGTCGGACCCGAGCGGGCGGGTCGGGTCGGGCGGGCGGACCCGAGCGGGCGGGTCGGGTCGGGTCGGGCGAACCCTAAGGGGCACAGGTCGGGTCGGGAGGGCGAGACATGAAAGTGTGGGGCACGCTCGACCGAGCACGCGCGAACCCTGACGAGCGGGTCGGGTCGGGCGGGCGGACCCCAGCGGGCGGGTCGGGTCGGGTTGGGCGGGCGGACCCCAAGGGGCAGGTCGGGACGGGCGGGCGGGACATTACAGTGTGGGGCACGCTCGGCCGAGCACGCGCGAACCCTAGCGGGCGGGTCGGCTTGGGCGGGCGGACCCTAACGGGCGGGTCGGATCGGGCAGTTCCGCCGACGGCAGCTGGTTTCGCCGACGGCAGCTGGTTCCGCCCGGCGGCGAAACCAGCCGAGCGAAACCAGCCTTGCGAAACCAGCGGTCGGCGAAACCAGCGGTTGTCGAATCCGAAGCGTCCCCCCCGAATCTATCCCTTCGCTCACACCTATCGACCCACCCGCCGCGGCCCCCCTGACACCCTGGCGTCACGGACAAAACCGCGACGGGCACTCTCGTCCCGCCTCGGGCCTCGGGGCCCTCAGAGCTCGATACGGCTCGAGAGGTGCCGCAGAACGGCGGAGTCGGCAACTCCTGTCGTGACATACGGTGGGGGCAATGGGGATGGAACCCTTAGAGAAGGGACGGAGGGCCTGGAAGCCGGTGGCACTCCAGTCGTGGACTGGCCGTGGACATCACCGCCGCCCTCATCAGATCAGGAAGCCCCCGGGGTCTGCAGCCTCTTTGGCACACTCCTTACGCAACGCCCCCGCCCCGCGGAGGAGGAGGAGGACGAGGAGGAGGAGGAGGAGGAGGACGAGGAGGAGGAGGAGGAGGAGGAGGCGGAGGAGGAGGAGGAGGAGGAGGAGGAGGAGGTGGAGGAGGAGGAGGAGGAGGAGGAGGAGGGGAGGGGAAGAGAGGGAGGACGAGAGGAGGAGGAGGAGGAGGAGGAGGAGGAGGACGAGGAGGGGGAGGAGGGGGGGAGGAGGACGAGGAGGGGAGGAGGGGGAGGAGGAAGGAGGAGGAGGAGGAGGAGGAGGAGGAAGGAGGAGAGGAGGAGGAGGAGGAGGAGGGGAGGAGGAGGGGAGGAGAGGAGGAGGAGGATGGAGGGGGAGGAGGAGGAGGAGGAGGAGGGAGGGGGAGGAGGGAGGAGGCGGAGGAGGAGGAGGAGTGGAGGAGGAGGAGGAGGAGGAGGAGGGAGGAGGAGGAGGAGGAGGAGGAGGAGGAGGAGGAGGAGAAGGAGGAGGAGGAGGAGGAGGAGGAGGAGCAGGAGGAGGAGGAGGGGGAGGAGGAGGAGGAGGAGGAGGAGAAGGAGGAGAAGGAGGAGAAGGCGGACTCCGAAAGCTTCCGTTTAGGCAGTGCTGTCCCCTTCGAAAAGGGATGTCGGGCGCGCCTGAGGGCGCCCAGCGCCGACCAAGCCCAATCCGCGTGGAGCTTCGAACATTTCCGTTTAGGCAATGTTGTCCTCCTGGGCTCCTCGGACTCAGGCCCCTCCATCAATCCCCCCCCGCGGCCGCTTTCGCCCGTCTTTCCCTCCCCCTGCCGCCCGCTAAGTTGCGCGCTCTCCGTTGCCCGCACCGCCTGAGTTCGCGTGCGGACTCCCTCTGCCGCGCTGCGACGTGAAAATAAAGCTCTCTGGGAGCTCATGCGGCGCTTCGGTAGTGCTGCCCCTCTCCGAAAAGGGACGCCAAGCGCGCCACGGGGATGCCCAGCGCCGACCAAGCCCAATCCGCGCGGAGCTTCGAACATTCCCGTTTAGGCAGCGTTGCCCTCCTGGAGCTCTGGAAATTGTGTAGGGGAACGACACATGACATAAACATAAAAACTCGGAGGTCCGCGCGGATTTCTCGGATCGGCGCTGGACCCCCCTCCCTGGCGAGCGCGCCAGGGGCGGCGCCGGAGGCGCCGCCGGGGGGCCCCAGCGCCGATCCGAGAAATCCGCGCGGACCTCCGAGTTTTTATGTTTATGTCATTTTTCCCCATATCCTAAGGATTGGGGTTCTTGTTATTACTCTGACGCCTCCCACTGCTCCTCCTTCCTCCCGCTCGCGCCTCCCTCCTCCCAATGATAATCACCAGATAAGACAAGACAATATAAGATACTACAAGATAAGATAAGATAGCACAAGATATGATAAGGTAAGATAAGATATATGACAATGTAGGGGTAAGATAGGACAGCCTATGGAGTAATAAGATAAGACAAGATATGATGCGATAAAATGAGTTGATATAAGATAAGCTAAGACAAGATAAGAGATTTCGAGATAAGATAAGATAGAGGGTAATAAAGGTAAGATAAGATAGGACTCGATAAGATAAGATGAGACTCACTCTCACTCAGACTCACTCACAGTCACATTCACTCACACTCACACTCTCTCATGATCACAAAACGCTGCCAGGGGCATCATTTGGGAGCCCCAAGGGGGAGCCACCCTGGCTGATCTCACGAGCCCGTTCGCGCCGATTTTGGTGGGACGTCTCAGCTAAAATTGCCGTTTGGCCTCCCCAACATGTCTCTCTTGAGAGCCTCATGGTCGCAAAACGCTGCCAGGGGCATCATTTGGGAGCCCCAAGGGGGAGCCACCCTGGCTGATATCACGAGCCCGTTCGCGCCGATTTTGGTGGGACGTCTCAGCTAAAATTGCCGTTTGGCCTCCCCAACATGTCTCTCTTGAGAGCCTCATGGTCACAAAACGCTGCCAGGGGCATCATTTGGGAGCCCCAGGGGGAGCCACCCTGGCTGATATCACGAGCCCGTTCGCGCCGATTTTGGTGGGACGTCTCAGCTAAAATTGCCGTTTGGCCTCCCCAACATGTCTCTCTTGAGAGCCTCATGGTCACAAAACGCTGCCAGGGGCATCATTTGGGAGCCCCAAGGGGGAGCCACCCTGGCTGATCTCACGAGCCCGTTCGCGCCGATTTTGGTGGGACGTCTCAGCTAGAATTGCCGTTTGGCTCCCCCATCATGTATCTCTTGAGAGCCTCATGGTCACAAAACGCTGCCACAGGGCAATTCATTGGGCAGGCCCCAAGGGGGAGCCACCCTGGCTGATCTCACGAGCCCGTTCGCGCCGATTTTGGTGGGACGCCTCAGCTAGAATTGCCGTTTGGCCTCCCCAACATGTATCCCTTGAGAGTCTCATGGTCACAAAACGCTGCCAGGGGCATCATTTGGGAGCCCCAAGGGGGAGCCACCCTGGCTGATCTCACGAGCCCGTTCGCGCCGATTTTGGTGGGACGCCTCAGCTAGAATTGCCGTTTGGCGTCCCCAACATGTATCTCTTGAGAGCCTCATGGTCACAAAACGCTGCCAGGGGCATCATTTGGGAGCACCAGGGGGGGTCCACCAGGGGCTTCATAGTCACTAAACGCTGCCAGGGGCAGCATTTTGGCTTCCCAAAGAGGAGTCGACCCGGGCCTCCTAGTCGCCAGACACTGCCAGGGGCACCATTGGGATTCAGACTCGCACCCAGACTCACTCATACACAAGCTCACTCACACGCAGATTCATTTCTTCAGAGTCAGGCACACACAGACGTACCCATACTCAGACTCACCCACACTCAGGCTCACCTAACCCAGACTCCGTCAGAAGCCAGTAGCGAAGAGAGCAGAGAGAGAGAGAGAGAAGAGAGAGAGAGAGAGAAGAGAAGCGAAGAGAAGAGAAGAGAGAGATAGAGAGAGAGAGCGAGAGACGAGAGAGAGAGAGAGAGCAGAGAGAGAGAGAGCAGAGAGAGAGAGAGAGCGGGAGAGAGCGAGGGAGAGCGAGAGAGAGCGAGAGAGAGCGAGTGAGAGCGAGAGAGAGAGAGAGAGCAAGAGAGAGCGACAGAGAGCGAGAGAGAGCAAGAGAGAGCGAGAGAGCGAAAGAGAGAGAGAGAGAGAAGAGAGAGAGAGAGAGAGAGAGAGCAAGGGAATAGAGAGAGAGAGAGAGAGATGGAGAGGAGAAAGAGAGAAAGAGAGAGAGAGAGAGAGTGAGAGAGAGAGAGAGAGAGATAGAGAGAGAGAAGAGAAGAGAAGCGAAGAGAAGAGAGAGAGCGAGAGAGAGAGAGAGGGAGAGTGAGAGAGAGAGGAGAGAGCAGAGATAGAATAGAGAGAAGAGAGAGAGGAGAGAGAGAGAGAGAGAGAGAGAGAGAGGCAGAGATAGAGGCAGAGAGAGAGAGGCACAGAGAGAGAGGCACAGAGAGAGAGGCAGAGAGAGAGAGAGGCAGAGAGAGAGAGGCAGAGAGAGAGGCAGAGAGAGAGAGAGAGGCAGGGAAAGAGAGGCAGAGACAGAGAGAGGGCAGAGAGAGAGAGAGAGACAGAGAGAGCAGAGAGAGAGAGAGAGAGAGAGAGAGGCAGCTCAGTCACACTTAAATCCAGATTCGTCCTCACCGAGTCCCACCACCAAGGGAGCGCCAGCAAGGAGATGCACATAGGGGGATCCCCACGCAGTGAATAATTTGTTCCCCTATTGTGGCCCAGCATGGGGGAAGCGGGTCCCGAGGGAAAGCAAGTTCTGGACACACTGGGGCCTCCCCCCAGGACGAATTCTCCGTCCTGAGCCGCTTTTCTGACAGCCCCGGGGCCCACGGGGGGCCACGAGGGCCCGAAAACTGCAAAACAACCTCGGGACACATGTCCCTCAGGACCCGCTGCTCCCATGGCGGCAAGAGCCCGCTTCTCTCGGGACATCAGGGCCCGCTTCCCTCGGGATGCGCGGTGAGGCTGCAGGGGCCTTGGAGGGCTGTGCCAGCGCTTTGCGGGCGGGGCGCGGCCAGCCAAAGCGGCCAACGATGGGAGGAGGAGGAGGAGGAGGAGGAGGAGGAGGAGGAGGAACCGCAGGAGCAGGAGGAGGAGGAGGAGGAGGAGGAAGAGGATGACGACGAGGAGCCGCAGGAGGAGGAGGAGGAGGAGGAGGAGGAGGAGGAGGAGGAGGGGAGGAGGGAGGGGGAGGAGGGGCCAGGATGCAAAGGTGTAGCCTTGGAAAGCTGCCCATCGTTACTGTGCGGGGTCGACCGCAGGCAGCGTGGCTCGCTTGGAGCCGTGGTGTCGGCCCGCCCTCCGCCTCGGATCGATCTGCAACGCGCGGGGGGCGCGGGGGGTGGTTGAGGGCGCACGCAAGAGGAGGAGGAAGAGGAGGAGGAGGAGGAGGAGGAGGAGGAGGAGGAGGGGGAGGAGGAGGAGGAGGAGGAGGAGGAGGACGGAGTGGAGACCATCGTGCCCGATTCAAAACGAGACTCAACCAGAAGGGAGGGCTGGGACGCATTACCACGAGAGGTTGGTTCCCTGGATGATCTGGACTCGGGACATGCGAAATTCACTGCGGCGCCTGAAAGGATTCGCACAAAGGTTTTGGAGGTCGAACTTCGACAGAAACCTGAAGATCACTTGTAGTGTCTCGCCTGGTGAACGAACTCTCTGCCCAGAGTCGTCAGAAATAGATAAAGATCCAGAAATACACCCAGAGAGCCACTCCTCTACCCGGAGAACAAACCCCCTTTACACGGAGACGAGACTCCTTGCAGGGTCCTTACCACCCCCCGCTCTTGTCGTGCGCACGCTGACATGGACTGGTAGTCCGTGGATGTGGCGCGTGGGCGCCAGATCCACGAATCGTGGAAGGCACCCCCGAAGTAAGAAGCTGCTGCCGACCGATTAGACGACGGAGCGCGTCGATCTCGCAAGGAGACGGGACCCGTCGCCAAACCACGCGCCCTAAGTCCATGACTGCGTCTCCTCGATCTTGGAGGCCCTCGACCCCGCCCCCCCAAGCTTCCCTCCTCTCCACCCTGTTCCTACTGCTCGCCCCCCTCACCCCCTGCCTGCTCCTGCTCCTGCTTCCCTCCTCGCCCCATCCTGCTCACCCAGCCCTCCCCTCTTCGACGTCGCTCGATCTCCAGTGCCTGGCACGCGAAGCTCTCGACAACTTCCACGGGACCAGCCTCTCGTCGCATGTCGTCCGTTGATGGTCCTGGGGCCCGAGGACGGTGCGCGCTGAGTGCGGACGCGACCGCAAACAAAAACCTCGCAAGAAGCCCAGACCCCAAACTGCGCGAGCGAGGCGCAGGTGATGGGAAACCCGAGGCGCCCTGCACGCAGCAGTGTCTCAACGCCCGCGGGAAGTCACCGCGCAGCGCGCGCGCAGCGCAGACGTCCTTTGTACTCCGACGAAAAGCACCCAGCTTCTTCATGCGCGGCCCGGACCCCAGCCAGGATTGGCGGCGAGCGAGGGGGGGAAGTGAGAAGAAGGCCTTCTCAGAGGGCTTGAAGTCCCACGGCCTTCTGAGAAGGTTTCTAAGCCTTCCCCGAAGATGCAAAAAAACCTGCCAGAAGGCGCGAGGGCTTCTGAGAAGTCCCGCCGCCTTCTGAGAAGACCTTCTCCTTATCACTTCCCCCCCTCGCTAGCCGCCGACCAGAATACGATCAAGAAAATTATCATAGGAGAAATCTGGGCCAGCTTCGAGGACAAATTCTTGAAGCAAGCCTGAGCCAAATACTGGTGTTAACGCTGGAAGGGCGAACGTGCTCAAGAAACGGGGCCAGCGTTCCGGCAAGATGGTGAAGAAACGTCGGCCCAACATTTCGACAGGAGGTTTCTTAATCAGATGCTCGGCTCATATCCGCCGCCGTGCCTCTGGCACGACGTGGAGTGCCCCAAGGCTCATGTAGCACTGAAATGTAGACGCTGTGCTCCTTCTGCAGCGAGACTTGTAAGTCCTGAAGGGCCGGACCCATCGTGTCCCAAGCTTTTCGGGGATTTCTGGGCTGGCTCCCATGAGTTCTGAGGCGTTTCCTGCGCCTCATTTGGAGGCTGTGCCCCCCAAAGCGACTTCCCCAACCCTCCCACGAGTCCAAGAGGGCCCCGAGTCGCCGAATGATCCAAAACGCTTAAGATGACCTCAAGACGGCCCAGGAAGCCTCCGAGAGGGTCACAATACAGCCTAATAACGCCCTAAGACGGCCCAAGAGACGCCAAAGATGGCCTCCAATACGGCCCTGGAGCACCCCAAGAGGGCCCCAAGTCGGCCCAGAGAGGCCCCCAAGAAGGCTTCCGACAGCGTCAGACGGGCCGGGAACCCACCAAGACGGCCCAAGACGGCTCCAAGATGACCCCAGACGGCCCAAGAGGCCCCCAAGAGGTACCCAAGACGGCCCAAGAGGCCTCCAAGAGGGCCCCCAGGAAGTTCCGAAGAGGCCGAAACAATTAATTTGCCTTAGGTGTTTAAAGGATGTTGGCATGTGCTTCTTTTCGGCCTTCCGACGGAAAACTTCTCCCTGTCGCACCCCGAGGCAAGTTTTTAGGGCGGGCTGGGCGTTTCGCCTGAGACTTCCTCACCATTTATGACTCTGAAGCTTAAAAGGTGGCCACAGTTTCACAAATGGAGGGCGGTAGTTTTCAAAATGTGGCCCTCGCCTTAGCGCCGCGCACATTCGTTTTTTTTAGATGCAAGAGCTTCACGGATTGAGGGCGGGTCGTTTTCAAAATGTGGCGCTCGCCTCAGCGCCGCGCACATTCGTTTTTTTTTGGGGGGGGAACAAATGCAGGGCTTTCACGGATTGAAGGCGGTTCCTTTTCAACATGTGGCTCTCGCCTCAGTGCCGCGCACATTCGTTTAAAATTAACAACGGCTTCACGGATTGAGGGCGGGTCGTTTTCAAAATGTGGTTCTCGCCTTAGAGAAGCGCACACTCGTTTTTCCCACAAAAAAACAACAGCTTCACGGGTTGAGGGCGGGCCGTTTTAAACATGTGGCTCTTGCCTTAGCGCCGCGCGCATCCGTTTATAACAATTTGAAACAATTTCACGGATTCCTATGATCAGCGTACCAGAAATGGTGTTTTGGAAAAGAACAAGATTCTGCGGGTGCAACAGTCATGTTGCTTCGCGGTGTTGAATCCCATAAATGGCGTTATGGCACGATTCCGGGTCGTCAAGACGAAGCAGTCAGGTTGATCCGGCATGCTTGGCATGCTTCAGGGTCTTCAAGGGTGTCTTCCAACGAGGCAGTTCCTTCAATGAACATGAACCGTTGTAGGGGCTTATGAAAAAGGGAGCTTGGAGGGAGGGTTAATTCCAACATCGTTGATGATTCTTTGGTTTGCACTGGTCCTGCGCCTCTTCCTCCTCCTCCTGATCTTCCCCGCCATCCTCGCCCAAGTGTTCCCCGAAGGGTTTCCACAACGGATGGGGGAAACACATGGTCCGATGGCTTTGCAGAATTCTTGCTACAACGCTCGGCCACGTGGGCGACTCCAAAAGGCAGGGCGCGG